ATACCTCTATAATGTTTTGGTCTTCACTACTTAAGTTCTTTTCAGTTTGCTTCTTTAACCATGCTGTTTTGTATGATTTCACTAATTTTCGGTGCTTTTTCATCCGCTCCCAATTCCAATTATTGCGTCGTCTTCGAACATTCTCCTCCAGAATTGCTTTGTACGCAAAATGCCACCTGAAAAGAGTATCTCCGCCGAACAAAACCAATGAAACCTAAGATCAAACAGGAGTTTTCCTCCAATTTCATTTTCACATTTTCCTGTATTTTCCTTCCTATCTGAATGGGTAGTGTGCTCCCTACACAATAAACAAAATTTGCGTAAGCTGACTGTAGCAACCAGATTGACCCTGGAAGCATAAGTGAAGATGCGGTAGAATACAGAAAGAGCGGTTTAAGAAAAGAAGGTAACAATGAGATAAGGCGTTTCGGTGCATTAGGTCATAAACCTCTTAACTCAACACCGTAACAGGACCTCATCAGTATGACCATCGCAGCGCTTAATGGAAAAGGAAAGGAAAAAAGAAAGACGTAAGGAAAAAAAGGGAATGCTATGACTGTGGGATACAGGTGGCAAGAAGGGGGTGAAGAGGGAAAGGAAAAGGGAAGGAGACAGAAGACTTTAAAAAAAGAGAAAGTTTTTAATTTTTCAAAAAAAGTTATTTTTAGGAAGACAAAATTTTCCCCGATAACTGAACTTGAACACTTACCACTCTTTGTAATGGCCACGATATTCATTCAGGTTGGGACGATATTTGAGGTACTGGGCCGCTGTACGAAATCTTTCCTGTGCTTCCAGGAGTAGTAGCAAATCCTGGTATTGATATTTACCAACAGCCAATGCAAGTATATCGAGACCAAGTTGGAGACTGACTTTTGGAATTGTCCAATTCGAACCATCTGTTTCGGGCTTTTGATTGAGTGCAAGCTTTGCCTGCATATTAATTGGCTCCAGCACTGCAAATGCAAAGAAAAATGAACCATTTTTAGGGATGCGGGAAAATTTCAATTGCAAAAAGATACTTTTTGATATAATGCTTTGCCCGTCACTATCCCAGATGGATAAACATGTTATTCAGTACAGTACCGAGCCCTGTGCTTCAGATACTGTAGCTGGAGCATTTACATCTGTATGTATGCCAATCGCACTCATATGGCTTTGTACTTCTGCCAATAAATGCAGCATTTCATTAATTTTTACCGAGGGGATACGTATAAGACTTTGTAGTGCCATAAAGTCGACAAGGCAACAAAAAAATTTCACGTGGTCTAAGAGTGGTGATGTTTCGGACGAAGTGTTGATGCTCAAAATAACCAGCATCTCAAAACAGCTAAAATTTGGCCAAATGCTTGTGTCGGAAGAAATATAAAAGAATTCCTTTAACAGGCAAAACGAACGTCAGGATCGCCAGAAGGCTGACCACCACCAAACAATACAGGGCTGGTCAAAGCAACCGGAAAAGTTGTTAACTGCACAGCTAAAGAAGCCGACTCTGAATTAACTGAGGTCTTAACAGCACGACGATCGGAATGTAAAATAAAGATGTTGAATTCAAGAAGTTTTACCGCTTTTCAAATTAGCTACTCTACTTCTATGGACAAATAATGACGGTGTACTTACTGTATTTGTAGCCCGATGGCTTCTTGTTTCCAACAACAATAGAATCATTCATTTCTTGCAGAATCTTCGCGTGATCAGTCAAATCTGAGAAAAGCGTCGAATCTGAATTCCAATACAGCGCAAGATTATTCAATGAGACCAATTTATAGACCACTTTCACCACTTCCTTGTGTATTGTTTCGTTCCAATTCTCATCTGTGGTCTGCAATTTCAGCTTCTCAGTTCATTCAAAAGCAAGCAATGTTTACGAAAGCTGTAAAAAATGTTTTTCCCAATATTAAAACCAGCTTAATAATGCGATGATTGGCACAGAACTCCAGTAATTGTTATCCTGGAGTGAAGAAGGTAATTGAAATCCAGGATGGCCTTATTTTTCAAACTTTCCTCTGTGCCTATCTATGAAGCAGGTAACATAACTTCAAGGAAGGACAAACTGATTTTTAGCGAAATTCTACCAAAATGAATGAATTTATGACCAACGCCCTCACCTAAGAAATTAACCTAGATTTTCTTAAGATGCAGATATGAAACGAACTAAAAGTTGGCTTGTTTAGGAAAAGATATGTTTTCTTTTTTTGGAAATTCAGCACAGAAGTTGAGATTACCTTGAAATTGATGCCTTCAAGTGTTGCACCAACCACAAATGGACGGCTACGATTGGAGTATTTGTCTTCATAACGAATGTGTATATTTCGGATAGTCACTTGTAAATTTTTTATAACCGTGGCAGCAAATTTCTCCACGAAACTATCCGCCGCGAGATCCGGTGGCTCTACAAAACAGTTGATCAAAATTAACGAAATTTTTAAAAAACAAATTAACGGAAATTTTAAAAAATAAATTAAAAATTTTAT